CTTTAAGAATATATAAATATCACCTATATTTTTTCTTAGATTTTCTTTTATTTTCATGCTTTTATTTCCTTACATGTAACTCTATCCAGCACAAATTTATTTTGGTAAGTCAAAGGAAATAGAGATCTAACATTTTCTGATTACTTAAGGAATTAAGCTAGCATCAGTTATTGAGTAATCCATTGTTTCTTCAATTACAGGCAGGGTGTCAGTGACTGGGCTAAGGCAGGTATAACACAATATGGCCCTTCCCTCAAGGACCTGTGTCTAGTGAAGGAGACTGTCTAGTAAAGAGATCATTACAATGAAGTGGGAGAAGTTCAATGATAGCATCAATTACAAAGTACCACCATAATATATAGCAAAGGCCCAAGCAGGGTGCAAAATCAGGTTTGGGGAGCAGTGGTCAGGGAAAGCTACTTGGAGGAGATGGTATATAACCTATGTCTTGACTGATAAGTGTGTGTGGTGGTTAAGTTTGTGTGTCAACTTGGCTGGGCCTGGTTGAGTGGCTGGGCAGCTGAATGTAATATTCCCCATGATGAGACTGGTAATCAACTCCATGGTGGAATCTACTGTGAGCAGCTGAGTAACTGCTTTAGGGATGTGGTCTGCTTCCCGTATATAAGAAACAGCTTTGCAAATGGTCTCTAGCTTATGGCACACCTGAACCCTGCATGTAGCCGTGCCCTTATTCAGCAGCTGGCCATGATCTCCCGATCCTGGGAGTTTCATTGGACTTGAATCAATGGCTTGTCGTGTGGTTTGGTAACATCGGGACTATGCCATTTTATTTGTTGACCGTGGGCTTGTTAGCCTCAGCAGCCAGCAGCTGCCTGAGTGAAGAGATGCCTCTAGCTTCAGTGGGCTGGGAGCAAGAGGCAGAGCTGAAGCCCAAGGTTGAGGGGCTTTCACCCAGCCCCAAGAGCCTGGCACTTTGAACTTGGACTTACAGCTTCCAAACTAACTGTAAGGTAATAAACTCCTGTTTGTTTTTAGCCATCCCATTTGTGATATTTTCTTTTCAGAGCAGTGCTAGGTAACCAAAACAGTATGTTAACTCTATTGGGTAACAGGACATTCCAGACAGAGGGATGAACACTGTAAGCAGAGAGCAGAGCCATAAGGAACACAATATGATTGGGTAGTGTCCAATAGTGCATTGGGGGCTGTTGCCTGGGATAGAGTAAGAGAGTAGCAGGGAATGAAGCTAGGTGGGCTGGCTGGGCTGACAGACCTTATATAAATGTTGTTGTTGTTATGTGCCATCGAGTCCACCTTGAATTTAATGGGAGCCACAGTTGGATTTTTTTTTTTTCCAGTTGTGATTTAGGTGAAAGTTTACAGTGCAAAATCATTTTCTATGCAACCGTTTATGCACATTTTGTTTCATGACATTGATTGCAATCTCCATAATGTCACAGCTCTCTTCCCACTTCCTCCCTGTAGTTACCTCCCCCCTCCCCATCCTTCTTTCTTATGCATTCCTGCCCTCTGAGCTATCACCCTGTGCAAATACTGCCCTTCTGATCTCCCATAGTTTATTGTTTTAAGGAGTGTACCTACCTGGTGTAAATGTTCACATAGTATGCCTGTCTGTTCTGTGGCTGGCAGCCACAGGAGTTCAATTCTTAGTCTGAAGGGTGACAAGGGATCATAATCTCAGGAATTTCATCAGTCTCTATCAGCCCAGTAAACCCGGTCTTTTTTATGATTTTGAGTTTTGTTCCACATCTTTCTTCTACTCTATCCAGGATGGCCTACACTGATCCCTTTCCAGATGGTTTGGTAACATTGGGACTATGCCATTAAATAAAACGAGCCATTTATATGCCATTTCACAGTGGTAACTGGACACCATCTAGTCCTTCTGGTCTCAGGGTCACTGTAGGCTGAGGTTAGTGTGGTTTACTGGTCCTTGGACTAATTAATTCCATATGTCTTTTGTTTTCTTCATTCTTCTTTGCTCTGGATGAGGACAGACCAGTTGTTGCATCTTAGATGGCCGCTTGGAAGCTTTTGAGACTCCAAACACTATTCACCAATGTAGGCTATAGAACAATGTTTTTGTGTAGTGTGTCATACCAATTGAACTTCATGTCCCCCATCCCCCATGATCATGGTCCCAAGCCTACAGCCCAACAACTTGCTCCTTCAGGGTGGTTGAGCCACAGTTGGATTTTAAGCAATGGAATGAAATAACCAGATCTGGTTGTATGATAATTACACTGTTGGTGGTTTGCGTATTAAATATTATCATAATGCAGTGCTTTGAATTCGTAACAGTGATTATATTTTGGCATTGGGTGTTTATTGATTAATGTCTTATTTTAGCTTTCTTCAGAAAGGATGGGAGAAATTTATACTTTACTAATCATATAAGGATTTTCATGTAGAAATTTGACTTATCTAGCACTGTATTGCTAATTTAATCTAGTTTTTTAGGTGCTCTGCCCTTTTATTTGACTTGGACCTCAGTTAGCTTTAACAATTATACCTGCTTTTATTTGTTTGACCATTTGCATGATGATGGAATGCACTTTGGCATCTGTTTGGATAATATCCTGGCCATATGCCATTAATTCAGATAATTATTTTCTGTACTACCTAATATCTGCCCAGCAGATAGATTCCAAAGTCCACATTTATCTTTATTTTCTTATGAAAGTGCTGAGAGGTAAATGTAGCCTGTATTCTAATGTGTGTTTCTCAGATGAGAAGACAAACTCAGGCGAAACGACTTACCTAGGGCCACACAGCGAGTCTGGGATGTTGCTTGATGAAAATGTTCTTGCTGTGCATACATATTGTGGTCTCATTGCCGTTTAATCCTGTAGTCAGCTGAAGGATGAGCCACTCATGTGGTGTGTGACAGGCACAATTTTCTCATTGTGACAGAGGCTTGAGCTTGAGCTGGGAGTCCTAACTCTTTGATACTTTATGAAATCATACAGGAGGTACTCTCCTTTTAAAAAAAAAGTCCTCTGAAATCAGTACAGGCTGTCAAGGGCTAATTAGTCACTCCATATGAAAATGCAGTTGCCTTTGGCAGACTGTGGGTTATTCCCTACCATGAACAACAGCCCTTAATGGCTTCTCTGATTCCACAGTTATTTCCCAGGCATTAAACATAGCACTTAACTCAGGCTTTTAATCAGTTATCTAATGTGGCATATTGATGTGATCAAAACCATGTGACTGCTACTTTCTAAAATCAGTACAGTTATCCCTACCTTACCCACAAAGGGAATTGTCTACAGTCAAGTAACTCTTATGGAAGGCTTTTTATTTCATTTAAGTCCCTCAGATACTTTTTGTCAACAGAGCTCTTTCACACACAGCTTAGGACAAGGGCCAGTCTGGGATTCTGTGCATTTGATTAGAAATTTCCATCCCTTTTGTTCCGGAAAACATTAACACGTTCTATGAAAGTGGTAATATATTCTCATCTCTTTAATAGCACCAAATTCATCAGCAGTCAGCATTTGTTCTTTGGGTTTAGAAAACAGTATAAGGAAAACCTACATAGCTCTTCAAATAGTGTTACAAATTCATCCTTTCCAAGAAATGCACTAGGTTTGTGAACAACACAAATTTTTTTTTTCTGTATTTGTTTTTTCTAAATTATGAAAACAATTTGTTCTAAATATAGAAAATTTGGTACACAAAAATATAAGTTAAATATTATGCAAAATTATAATTTTGTACCCTAAGTTTTAAAGCTGTTTTCTTGCTTTTTAGTATCTTTAGGTTGTTTTCATGTTTACACTGTTGAAAGATTTTAGTTAATTTCCTTGTACAGAAGGCTTTATGCATATCTTCAATAATTTTAGCCTAAGTTCAAAGAAATGGGATTATTAACTCAAAGGACATAATATCTTTGTCTTTATATAATTTTCCAAATTGCCTCTGGAAAGACAATGCCAGTTTTCATTCCCATGAGAAATATGTGCAACTATGAGAGTGTCTTCCCCTCTCACCCTTCCCCTTCTCCAAGGCACCTTTTCCAGCACTGTGTGTGATTGTTTAACCAATATTAATCAATTTGGTAGATAAAATGGTCTCTTTGTTATTTTAATTTACTAATTCTCAGCAAGGAGCTCTGGTAGCATAGTGGCTAAGGCACTTGACTGCTAACCAGAAGGCTGGCAGTTCAAACCTTCTGAAGGAAGATGGGGCAATCTACTTCCATAGTGATACTGCCTCAGAAACCCAAGGAGGGGTCACTATGAGTTGGGTCCGACTCGACGGCGCATAACCACAACAACAATTCTCAACTTATTTGTCAGGTGATCATCTAAATTTTTAAGGACTCCACAATGGGGAGTTATGCATTTATTTATTTAGTATATTTGTTGTAATGACTCTAGTATATTTCAGAACTAGGAAGTGAAATTGGCATTTATTTGAGCCTCATTGCTATTTTTTATATCATTTTTACTTTGATTTAATTCTCTTCATTTGGGTTTTCTGTTTACGTCACCCTTTTACCTTCCTCTTCTGACATCCAGGTTGCTGCTTTTGGGTATTCTTTGAGAGGATTTCTCTCCTTATCATCACTGATGCATTCTGGGTAGCTCTGGTCTTCTCTTTTCCAACACACTCTGTCTTCACTGCACCCCAGCATCCCTGTACACACCTACTCTTGGAAGTTTGAGTTGGTCGGAAAATGCTTTTCCTCTGAATCTCCAAGTCTGAACTTCTCTGCAGTGACCATAGTGTCATGCTTTTATAACTCTCCCACTTACACAAAGTCGGTTAATCACCTTAAGTGCTATTTCCAATCACTCCCATCACCTTCTTCTTCTTTCATTCCTTTTGGTGTTGCTTGCTTCCCTAACCAACCTGTGCTCCATGATGTACCATTTTAACTATGATTTTATAAGCATCACGTGTTCATTTTTCCTTTCTATCTACTGCCGACTTACCTGACCAGTGACTGGCCATGGTTCGGCAAAACCATCTATTTTCTCTGCTTTGGTTCTCTAGCTGTTTGTTGTATGGCTGTGGACAAAGTCATGCCACGAGGTGAAATGAAAAAGGCAGGAAATGAAAATGTACAAGCATCATCACAGCTGTGTGGGAACAGGGAAAATCTTTGCATGGAAATAAAGGCACAGAATAGTAAGTGGGAAGGTGGGTGATTTTCCTTTCTTAATTTTCTGTAACGAGCATGTATTATTTTTGTTATGACGAAAAAGACCCAAACTTTATTTTTAGAAATTGCAGAGTAATGATGATTTTTCAGAAGTAGGTCATCAGGCCCTGTCTTCCAAGGTTACTCTGGTGAACTCAACCAACCATTCTTTCATTAGCTGAGCATGTTAACCTGTTGCACCACCCAGCATATCTGTAGCTATTGATAACCAAACCAACCCACTGCCACTAAGTCGATTCCAGCTCACAGCGATCCTATAGTATAGCATAGAACTGTCCCACAAGGTTTCTAAAGCTTTAAATATTTACGGAAGCAGACTGCCTCATCTTTTTCCCAAAGAGTAGCTGGTGGGTTTGAACTGCTGATCTTCTGGTTCACAGCTGAGTGCTTTAACCATCATAACAGCTCCTTAACTATAGCTGTTGATAGGAAGACAAACCCTAGAGCTGATCTGTTAAGAGAGAGAATGTTGAAAATCCATTGAAATGGATGGGGGTGAGATGCAGTTCTAGGTAACTACATTAGTTCCCTGCTACCTGGAAATAAATAAAGCTCAGGCTCCTGAGTGTGGCATGCAGGCCTCTCCACTAACTAGTGCAATCCACTTTTTTTTTTTTTTTTT